GAAGCTCTAGCCTGAGTTCACCACGTCTTTCTTTCTTTCACCACGTCTAATGGTGTAAGACAAGGCTGTCCTCTTTCCCCTTTCCTCTTTAACTTTGTTATTGATGCGCTGCTTGAAATTTCCCTAATCCATAATAATCGCTCAGCTGTAGCACCTTTTCTGTGCCCAGCTGCAATGCCACCCGAAGGAAGCATGATGGCTGAGATGCTTCCAGGTTGCTAACCATAGACAGGAGAAATGGTTCATAGCACGAACCTTCCGCTCAGTAAATTCGTACTCTAACCGCTGAACCATTCAGCAACGCAGAATGAAAGGACCGACCAATAAACTTGGTTGGGTCAACAACTGCCGTCTCCCTGGATGGTTGCCACGTGAATGGGCTCACAAATCGTTGTTGACACTGGCAGATAGCTCAGTCGCGCAGTCTGTGCCGCTGATACATCAAAGCTATTGCTTCCCAGTTCTCGAACTAACTGAACACGTCATCAGCTCGAATGCTTAGCAGTTTCCAACGCTTCCAAACTAGCAACCGGATCCAACGTACGCTTGGTACCTGGTTTGTAGCTGATAGACTGAATTGTTCGGATAAAGCAACAATACGGAACCGATATGCAGTCTACTCATCCTGTCACAGGAGACAGTCACCGTAAAGTAAAGTAAGTGCAGAGGTACCGGTGTTGGACACTGGTGCATCACAGTCGTACATGTCAGAAATACGTTTGGGTTACTTCCACTTCTTTTCAGCCTACCGTAATTTCTGCCAGCATGTACTGTGAAGAACTGAGCAACTCCGTACAATCTATCGACCTGCACGACAGTTGTGGCTTGAGAAAAAGAAATACGGACACTTTAACCGCCCACGAAGACTCCGAGGAAACGACAATAGCAAAAGTAGGCCCACCCATTCTGATTCTTCTTGTTTCAACAACCATTCAGACATATACAATGCCTTTGTTCCGTCAGTAGTGTTTCATTCCTGTTGTATCGAGCACTCATTTAGGAAGACAAAATGTCTTGAAATGCTGTATGTCTCATCTGTATGGGCCTCCTGGGTATATCCGAGTGTCCAACAGTGATCAGTGAAATAGTTCCAAGCCTAAATGACATAAAGAACGGCAGAAGCACGGGGATTTAGTTTACTGACATTGTGCTCGTGAACAATTGGGTCATACAGCTCTTCGCACTACAAGGCAGTTGCTGTTTGAGGAGGTTTTTCTCTCCCATAGAATTATGTTTTCAGTGTTCCATGTCCAGATATGTGGGGCGTTGCCAGTATGAAATTCAAGAATGTCCCCAAATGTAGCAATTTCCGCGTTAATGGATTCTCGACTCGGCAACATTGTGGTAGCGCAAAGAAACTGGTCGTAGGGCTCTCGCTTGTGATTCCTTCGGTGAAAAACGTTTATTTTAAAGACATATCAAGCGATCTGCCGAGCTTGGAACCATGACTGATTGTTTTCCCCTGAAAAAAAAAAACACATAAACACCGGCCCTCAGGAAGATGACGTAGCGGAGGAAATCTGGTAATGGGATCTGGGCTAGAATTTGATCCGTAGGTGGTCCTCATCAGGGTTGATAGCAGAGCTTTGTCCACTCTAATACAGTTTGTTGTGGTTCGAATTCTCGAACATACATGCAAGTGCTTGTTAAAATCACTAGATCGTTTACTTTTTTTTCTGTCGCACGAGTTCCGTTTGTTTGCCTATGGTTGTACACAACACGAATGCTTCTTCGCATCCCTCTCTCTCTGAACACTCCCTGTTAGATAATTCAGCGAGAAGGGAAACCAATTCTACCGCCTGGTTACCAGCTTTCCCACTGTTTGGCTGAAGGTGGGATGGGTCGGGTGTTCCTAGTGGTCAATCCGGAAACAAAGGACTGTCTGGCGGCTAAAGTCGTCAGCGTCTACGGACGCATGTTGTCGATGAAGAACGCAGAAGAAAATGTGGCAAAAATTCGTGCCGATCTACGCCAAGAAGCTGAGTTGCAGCGCCGTCTAAAACACCATCATGTTGCTACCGTTTATGGAATCCGGTATGTGTTCTACTTATTTGCTCGCGTTTCTGATGGCGTGTAGTTTAATCAAACAATACGCCCTGGATCCCCCTCCATCCGATTTGTCCAGGAGCCAAATCCCAACTTCGAACTTCCCAGATTATAATTAGCTCACGCTGTCGGATCGGTGTGGACTGGATAGGATTTTCGACCACTTGTTCAGCGGTTACGTCATGCCTTGGATTTTGAGCTTGAGATAGCTCAGTGGCACTTGGAAAGTGGTTCCACTCTTCGAAAAACGGTGCAAGAACACCTCATGGCATCAGGCCGGAGCATCCAAGATGTTCCCTTACATTATCTGGGCTGGATTACCATAGCTAGCTTACTGACCGGATTCGAATCCAACCCCGGTATCTCGACTGCTCCTGTCTAGGCCTGGCAACCTGGCGGTTTCTTAGCCCTTGTGCTTCCTTTGGGTGGCGTAGCAACGAGGTGTCGAAAGTATGTAATAGCTGAATAATTATTTTATTACTAACACCATAAGGTAACTTCGTGAAAGTATAGTTAGGTTTCGCCTACTTTGCCTACTTTGCTATAGGCGCCTGAATAGCACCACTTTCCAACTTCCAACGGTGATAGCTTTTACGAGAAGCAGTTGATTTTCAGGAAATTTGCTATAGCTATCCCTTCCAAGAGAAATGGCCGGAAACGAGATGACTCGTCGGCTAGAGTAGTTTTTGACAATCTTCGATACCTGAGGTACCGGCGTGACGTTGGTTTGTCTGTCAGATGTAGAGTGTGCGCTGTGGCGGTGCGATTCACACTGCTTTGTGGGTGAGAAATGTGACCCGTACGTACAGAATACTTTCGAAAATTTCCACTGTTCGACCATCGATGTGTCGTTTTGGAGCAAATATCCGATTAGCCATGTTAAGTTACGTTTGATTCTTTCTGGAGTGAAGGGACTTTCTCTCAATGGCCGGACTATTCACGCTTCATGCAGTATGTTGGCTAGAATACCTAGTTCTTTTGTCAGAGGACCAGAAGCCTTGTGCTTAATGGAATCTACCCAGAAACGTACAAAGTTGGTGACTTATGGTCAGTCATGCTGACAACTGCCTCGATCGTCTCCGATGCCTGCCTATTCCATTCTTGATGTCGCATTATTCGGTCGCAGAGGGTGTAGCAGCTGGAACGAATTCATCCCTGGTACATGGTCCCAAGCTTGCTAATCGAGCTGAACTGAATTTGGAAAGCCAGTTGGTCGGAATTAATTAAGGGCCGAATCTCGACCAGAATTGTACACGCTGTTTATCCATTTTCACACAGTCCTACCCACAGCACGACCCACCGGATTTACTGAGGCACCTTAGGATTACCCATTGATTTAACGCGCAACTGCATTTCGCTTTAATTCTCTGAGTATACAAGGACCGTGAACGCGGTTGTCACACTGACCGATGTTACTGTTACTTCTTTTCCAGGAATACACCATCTTTTACTTTCATGTTCATGGAACTGCTTCCAGGCGGCGAACTTTTTGATCGCATCCCAATAGGCGTTGGACTTCATGTGCAACAGATGTTCATCTACTATTCTCAGGTACAGGTCGCGATATCTGGTGTTGATAACCGTTTTGTCTGTCTCCTTTGCTTCATTGTTTACCTGAGGCTCGCAAATTGTTGGTGTTTTGTTTCAGATATTGGATGCCCTGCATTATCTACACACAGACCAACTGATTGCGCATTTGGATGTGAAACCCGAAAATATCATGTTGACCAGAAAGGACCGAGCCAAACTGATTGATTTCGGGTGGGCTGTGGATCTGAGCAAGAACCCCGTACTCAAAGGGCCTGTCGGAACCACCAGTTATGCTGCTCCCGAGGTGTTTGGCAGATGGTCAGTGTGTTTCCGTTTTGCTTCCTTTCACTGTTTACGTATGTGTCGTCGAACGTTTTTTGACTATCTTTCACCACCCTGGGTAGTCGGTGCTCAGTAGGATAGAAAGGATAAAAGGCTGTAATACCCCTTATCTGTGCCCAGCCACCATGCCACCCAAAAGGAGGAGATACTGCCAGGTTGCCCAAACTTAGGCACAGGCCGTTCAAGTGTCTGGATTGGTTTCTACGCACGAACCTTCCGGTCAGTAATTTTGCTCCCTAGCCACTGAGCTACCTAACTACAGTTGATGCCGTGAGCAGCGCGGTACCCTGTAGGACTGAATATCTCGTTAAAACGCCTACGGTTGCAGGAACAGTTCGCGGACGTGAGGATGTCTTTGACCAGGTGAATAAGAGAATGACGGATGAGGTTGAGTCATCCATTTTACCTTGTCACCGTCATTGGACTGGATTGTTGACCAATCGAGTGTTGTATGCGTGTGCACTGGCAATCGTGCCTACAAAACTTACACAGTTTTTCGAGTACGGATGCTCCATTCTGTAGTAGCGCATGGGGGGGGGGCGAGATGGCTCAGATGTTAGATCGCGAATTTACTGACCGGAAGGTCTGTGGCTCGAACCCGGCCTCTGCTTCTCGACTTCCCCTGTCTAGGCTTGGAAAACCTGGCAGTATCCCAACCTTCGTGCTTGCTTCTGGTGGCATGGCAGTTAGGCACCGATAGGGTGCTACAGCTGAACGCTTTCCTTTCCTTCCACTACTGAATTAGTGAGTCTAAGTTTTGGGATGTTGAAAATTCAGGTGAATGATGGCAATCAATCCTGAGTTCCAAAAAGTCCATACCATTGATCTCTATGAATCGGTGGACTTGTCCAACGCAGGCCTGAGAGGATTTCTTGAACTGCTTTTGTTAACGTCCTTAGAATACTGCGTACTCTTGGCACGTAGTTTCTAGCTGATCGAGCGAAATAGAAAAAATCAATTTTACTTTCATTTACAGTGATTCGTTTCGTATTCCTCGCCTGAGTAAGGCCACGTAATGGTCTGTCGCTTCGTACCGCTGCACGTCTGACTGTGTTCGAGTGTGCGTGCCTGTCTGTTTGTTCATAGTATTCACATCAAACAACTGTGTTTGATCCTTGAGTCTCACACCTTGCGTTTGTCCACCTGTCATCCAGACCTGATGTCCAATGTGGTTTGTGTGAACCAAAGATGGTCACATGACTGCCTCACCGACTTGATCGTGTCTACAACTCAAGTACCCTCGTCCTCGAAGAGCTAACGCCGGTAAACTGCCCAATGTTTCCTCGTTGAAGGAGCGACCGAGAAGAAATGCACCGCGTTCATTCTGCATTGGGTTAATAAAATTTACTTTGTATCCAGGGCCTTTTTAAAGACCTGGTTGAATTCTCCATTTCGTCTGAGAAGAATACCAAGGTTCCAAGGCTTTCTTTTTATGCTCTAACTGAGAACGCTGTCTGTCTTCTTAAATCGTGTTCGTAAATTCGTCGTGACGTGCTTTTTCTTCATTTGATTCGCATGACATATTCCTTGGTTACTCCCTCACATCTGGGCTAGTGAAACGTAGTGCGACCTTTGACAACCTTTATTTCAGTTTTACCGTAAGCAATCACGTTGATGCCTGTAACAGTTTTGTCCGGAAAATGCGACTGTCAGGGGAACACCTTCACTCGGCTTTATCTCACGCTATATGAACTCCCTGCACGCAGTCCAGACTTGGATAGTGCCAGAACTGTCACGTCCCTTAATTCTGCAATCCTCTAAATGGTGCGGTATCTTGTTAACCCTGACCCATTGTATGGTGCGCTTACGTCAGATCTATTTCTTATATCCGCTACGAGTTCGCATGCTGAAACTTCGCCTTCTGACCCACTTTATCGTGCGCTCATGTCAGACCTATTTTTATATCCGCTACGAGTTCGAATGCTGAAACTTCGCCCTCCAGGAACGCGTAAAGCGAACCTTGACTTCAACGCATTCACAGTACGTCATATATGAGATCATTTGGGTATTGCAAGGTGTGCTGACATTCTGATGAGATATCTTTGTAATCAAGGCAACGTTCCACTGTCTTCAGTATTTATACCGTCACAGTAGCATCGAGTTGGACATCCTGGGATTAAGGATTCGATTTCATGTTTATTGTCAGTAAATTTCAGTTTGTTCAGTCCAATTACCTCGATGATCTGTGCGCTTAGGAGTGACACCGTAAACGTGTCGGTGCTACCGAAGTTGCTTGATAGCTGTGCTCTGAGCCACCAACTGATGATGATCATGATCACGACCTACGCATGTTGAGTTATCACTTGCTGTTCTTCGGGTGCGGCTGGATGCACAGGGTATAAAGTACGTGATGAGAGGTTCAGTTGCTTATCAATTTGTTTTTGACGGGAGACTCACCAGGAATCTCTCGGTTATGCTTTTCTTAAGCAACGGAATGTGCTGCACCAGGCCGCCTCATGTTTCAATTGGTACAATACATTGTATGGACGCAATAGATTACTCATAAGGCTGCTGAAAACTTCCGGCCCGCCCACGACCTTTTTCGCCCTTCTTGAGGCTCGTCAGTTAGGCGCAGTCCCCGTCAACCTTATGTTCCACTTGAGCCCAAAGTGGACAGATTTCGACAAGTACACTCATTTGCATACCGATTTGGTTTTCACGGAAGACTCACTGGGAACCCAGATAAATTCCTCGTTTTATGGTTCCCTTAAGCAACTGAATGTGCTGCACCAGTTGTTGTTGATACTATTTACCTTCCCTGTCTACCCCACCTGCGTCGCAAGGTGTGGATCGGACAGTCCATGATATCCTTATCGTCAGTTTCCATGAGTGTTTGACACCCGAGCTCCTGTGGTGCGCGTCAGTACCTCGCGACTCGCGATGATTCCATGCTCCGCTCGCCGACAGTGGCAGGTTTGTAGGGAGTAGGAATAGTCAGACAATGAATGCCTCAGCGCGAACCGATTTACTTTGGTAACTCAAGCACTTGAGTTTGCACTGTGAACGTTAGTGGATTCCGATGTATGGACGGCCAGCGGCTGTTTGAAATGCTCTTTGCCGTGCCCGTGAATTTACCGAGGATGATGGGTTGTTTTTCGTGACACTAAGTTTCCCATCGCCAGTTGATCAAATCAGCAAAAAAATGGGCCACGACCGGTAGTCCCTTATACAGAAGCCATCTTCCCGCGGCGAGATTTCACTATCGAAGGCCATTTCCGACCTTTTTATAGGCTCTTTACTATTCGGGTTATGAAGCATTTGAGTCTAATGATCTAATGATCTTGGTTCGACCCGATATTCATTCGGGTATCGACCTTCCTATGGAGAAGTTCATTGGCGTTGGCATATCGCCTAATTTAGAAGGCTCAGTCACGCGTTTTCTGAGGTGCGCTCTTAATTTAACTGTAGAGATCTATGGAACCAAATTTGTTTGCAAATGAGCGTATTTTGCTAATCTGTGAATAGCCTTTTCACGGCAACCGTTTATGTTGAAAAGCCTCCATCCCACAGGCGTGTCTTTCAAGCCAGTTAGAGTAACTAAGGCTGTGAGTGACTTAAAATACAAGCTTTCCGGATGTGGGCCGTGTATGCCACTTCATCTAGGTGGGTTTTCGCGCTCACCTCTCAGTCATTCGACATTTCTGTCTCCTTTTCAGTCCCTATAGTGGACCTCCGGTCGATATTTTCTCTCTGGGTGTTACACTGCTAACGGCAGTCACTGGCCAACGCTGTTGGTCACGCGCGAATCCAGATGTGGACCCCATCTATAAACAGTGGGTCGATCGCCGTGATTTGCACGCTGGGCCCATTTTCTCGCGTCTACCCCCAGACTTAGCAAACTTTCTCACCCGTGTTTTGGCTCACAGACCGTCCGAGCGCCTCACGGTTGATGGGGTTCGATCTCACCCATGGTTTCGACGTGGACTTTTGCGGCGGCTGACTCCCGTTGCTCCACCACCGAGACCTGTATCTACTAACCGTGACACACATCGAGATTCTCTTGAGTCTTCGATATCCTCTAGAGATTCCTTACAGCCTGATGCCCCAGGTCAGTGAAAAACGTTTATTGTTTTCAATTTTTACTGGATTTTCCTGCGTGTTTTCTCCCCATTCGAAACAAAGAATAGACAGGGTACAAATGAACTGATCTTGGTAAGCGAGTTTGATGGAAAGCCTCGTCCCCAGCACCACAGTTCCGTTGCGCATAATCGCGCGGCATATTCTTTCGCTTCGACAATGTCTGTGTGCCCCATAGGCTGTAACTGCAGTGCTTTCAACGATGGTATAGCTCGACAGCACTTCACTTCTTTTGATGAAACTGGTCACTTGTCACGAGACAAAGTCTTGAGGTATCCGATTAGACTAGGTTCGTGTAATAGCGCCCAATTTCCCATGTATGGTTCGCTTGTGTTTTCGGTCGAGATGGTGTGGTGATCCGTCTTTAGAATGGCGTTGTCTTTAGATAGAAGAGATGTTGCACCTAACACATGTGTTACGTGACCTTGATAATAACAACACGTGGGTTCTGTTGTTTTATTTCGTATTCTGTTAAGTCTCCGTTGTATCAGCAAACCCAGTTGATCACTCTTTTCAGCAGTTCAGTAGCAGTTCTACAGGTTTGTTGACTCCAGTTTGTTTAAAATCATGTCTTGTTTACGTTAAGTTACTGTAATAGGGGTCCAAAGCTCTCTGGGGGCGAAGTTTTGATGTGCCCATTCTCATCGTATCTATTCACTTCATCCAAGAAGAATAAAGTATTGCAATTCATAGGAGCTTAAATCACTCGAAAACAGGAAATGTGCCAAGAAAATGGGTTGGCCTTTGCTTGTGCTACACTTCATACTGTGTACACTCCAGTCCACCCAGCACGTGGTGATCCGTCTTTAGAATGGCGTTGTCTTTAGATAGAAGAGATGTTGCACCTAACACATGTGTTACGTGACCTTGATAATAACAACACGGTGGTTCTGTTGGTTTATTTCGTATTCTGTTAAGTCTCCGTTGTATCAGCAAACCCGGTTGATCACTCTTTTCAGCAGTGCAGTAGCAGTTCTACAGGTTTGTTGACTCCAGTTTGTTTAAAATCATGTCTTGTTTACGTTAAGTTACTGTAATAGGGGTCCAAAGCTCTCTGCGGGCGAAGTTTTGATGTGCCCATTCTCATCGTATCTACTTCACTCCGTCAAAGAAGAATCCAGTATTGCGATTCATAGGGGCTTAAATCACTCGAAAACACGAAATGTGCCAAGAGACTGGGTTGGCCTTTGCTTGTTTTAATTCTCACATCACACTTCATACTGTGTACAATCCAGTTCACCCAGCATTGAAATCAACTTTCGAATCTAGGAAGAGATTTGAAGCAGTTATCTCACGTTATCAAAACCCAAGTTATTTGAGATACTCCAATTAAGAAGACGACTTTTCGTTGCACTACTCATCCACGCACTTTCCATCCTGAGTGTTAGTCTACGTTTGATTTGTCTGCCTTGCAGATTGATTCCGATGCGCTGCGCGCTTTTTCTTTACAGTCCCCTCATCACAACCCGTCTACACGTGTCTAACACAGGCGGACCCAACCGCGAACGATCTGCGTTTGTCGCAGCCCGCTGATATGACCAGCATGCTCATGGTGAGTGGAAACATTTACGGCTCTCTCCAGCTAGGAGTATTGCGAATCAAGAGACACATTTGTTGCATAAAGAAGGTGTACTGTATTATCGACGGTTTTCTGGAGCGCCTCTCAGTTTAGATTGTCTTGCGAAGGTGGGACAAACAATTACTTTGTTACGTTTAACGAGAATCTATGCGACTCGGTTTGGTTACTTGAAACAACTGAGACTGTCGATACTTTCGATCTGTTTCATAGAGATAGCGAAGATACTTGATTGTCGAAACGGTGATATTTTGTTTACTTCCATCGGCTGCACACTTCTACAGTAGATGGGCCAAGTGGTTAGAGCGCGAATTTACTGACCGGAAGGTCCATGGTTCGAACCCGACCTCTGCCTCTCGACTTCCCCTGTCTAAGCTTGGGCGACCTGGCAGTATCCCAGCCCTCGTGCTTCCTTCGTGTGGCATGGCAGTTTGGCATCGTGTCCGGCGAACTCACCAACAGCCACCTAATCAACTACCAATGAATGCAGCTGAGCTGCCAATGTTCCGACACTGCAAACTTCAGTAGGTGTTCGACTATTCTGTGTGGAACGTATATATGGGTCAACTTATCTGGAAGTAGACTCTTCACGTTCGAGAGAGGAAGAGCAATCAAGCTAACACAAATTCATGCGTATGCGCCATTGGGACATCCACAAACCGAATTTTCCGGTCGAAGCAGTTAAGCATTGCTATGGTGGGCTATGCCGAAAAACCGGCTGCTGTGCGGTAGTTTGGGAGACAGTAGCGGTTGGTAGTGATTTGCAGCTCGATCCCTTTTGTGGAAACCTGCAGGCGCAAAAGAAGCATCGATTTAACGGAGCGAATGTTTTTCCGCATAGTTTTCTTCCATGAAAACCATGCAGGGCGAGATGGCTCCAGTGGTTAGAGCGCGAATTTACTGAGCGGAAGGTCCGTAGTTCGAACCCGACCTCTGCCTCTCGACTTCCCTTGTCTAGGCTTGGGAAACCTGGCGGTATCCCAGCCCTCGTGCCTCGTTAGTGTGGCATGGCAGCTAGATATCGAGAGGGTGCTACAGCTGAACGATTTTTTTAATTTTTTCTTCCATGATCTATGCCTCCGTCCATGCAAACGCCGAAAGCTTCCAGAGGAGCTCAGTTTGTTGTGATGGTGTTATCCTGGTGTTGAAGTGACTTCTGCGTGACGCCGTTCACGCTCTCTTCTCGAACTCGAGATAACTCTGCGATTAAGGCACAAAACCAATGACCGATGGGTCTGCAGTTCTTACGCAACCCTGTTTTTTTATCGCTCCTTTCTAGGCTTGGATATCCGCGCCCCTCCTTCGAGTTGCACGGCAACTGTGCGTGAAACGGATGTCATGGATGAACAATTATTTCGGTCCAGTCTCACTAGAGTATGATCCAATAAGATGGTTTTCTTTCACTGAACTGTGTGCCATCGAATCGATTAGTGGCAAATCTATTGGACACGAACGATTCCCCTTTTTTTGATTTTGGTACATTCACTCGTTTTCTTTACCCAAACAGGCTAGTCAATCTGCCGATCCGGATGACATGCGACTTGGATTTTCCTGTTTGATGAAACGAATGACCAGATTCTTCTCGGCACTTTCTTCTGTGGAGCACACCATGGAGGTGATGCGAGCGGTTATCATACAACGCAGACAGCTACGGCCCATCTCCAAAGGTCCTGGAAACCTAATGGTAAGTCTATCGAACACTCGATCCACCCGCGTCTCAGTTGACCGTATGCAGTAACAAGCTGAGTAACAAAGCAGCAGTTTTACTTTGACCAGAAGCGCATTGAAATCGTTTGGTTTGTTTTTCTAGGTTCAGATAAGAAACCAAGATCATCCGGGTACAGCCTTTCGTATCCTGCTTTATCCACTTGCCGGTTCGATCCTTGCTGATTGTCGTCGTATTTCGGGTGACGGCCTACTGTTTCACCAAACATATGCTGCACTTTACGCCGACCTTGTGGCAATGGGAGCGGTAAACGAATCGCATCCCTATTTACGCATGATACTCCCGGATCAGGTGACTGCAGACGCGTCCGGTGAACCGCCTGTTTCTCCCGACCCCACGCATCCTGGTGATCAAAAGTCCGCACCCATGGAGTGCTGACCCCACCCCTATGTGGATTTCTACACACTGATTTTGTACTACTCAGATGAACCCAGATTAAGTATTTTATTAAAATTTTCGCACTATCGTGTACATGTGTATCGATCGCATTTATGTTTTGAGCAAAACCTCGTTGCAGTTCACTTTGGTCGCTGGATCGGAGCTCTTACGCCCTCATCTTTCGATATTCAAAAGATGGTTCTGATTCGATCATGATGGCTTCCGTTTGTCTGTCATTACCTAACACAATTTCAAGTTGCATGAGCCTGACGATGCAGAAAAAGTCTTTCGATATTCAAAAGATGGTTCTGATTTGATCATGATGGCTTCCGTTTGTCAGTCATTACCTAATACAATTTCAAGTTGCATGGGCCTGACGATGCAGAAAAAAAGAAACAAAGATGAGCCAAAGGTCACCGGATGCCGCCGTTGAGTGCTTTGAAAGCAAAACAGAGGTCAGCCAGACTTGATAAAATGACACATCTAAAGGCTAGTTGATTTGATTCAGAGCGATGTGGCAGCTGGCTGAAATCGATTATGACTTGTTGGTGTCTCAACGCGTCTCCTTGGCAATTTTTTTTGCAAACTTTTCGTCATCGATCGAGATAACATAGTCGGCACGTACCAGTGAGGAGTCGCGCCGTAGTTGCACGGTACATGACTCTATAGCTTACGCAGTTATCAACTGATTTCATCCGACTGACGGCGTGTACGCAACGAACTGGGCGAAAAACACGACCATAGAGTGCATCCCTCGTGATTTTGCACATTCAGGTCAAAAAATTATTGGTACAGGTTAAGAGGAAGGGAAACAGAGCCGCACTCTGGTCCGCAACCTTATTCATTGCAAAATTCCGGTCTGCCACACGAAGAATTCCGTTCAAACAACATTCGAAGTTGAAAGTGTTCAGCAGGAGACTGAGTCGTCGGTATTCGCTGCAAGTCGTTAATGTGACCATTTTACCGTGGTCGGCTGTTGCGGGATGATAAGATAATATCATGGAAACGCCAGCTAAAGTGATCTGAAATCAGAGATCGCAGTGCTTGTTCCTCAGCTGTGTGGCACGTTCTGAAACGATTCTCATTACGTTCGGCCTCCGTTCTTGTCTACTAACGATGAGGCGAGCAGCAAAGCGAACCTCCCTTGTTGCGATCGCCTCGCTTGATGCATGCCGGGGAATCCCGGCTACTAGTGTCTAGGCTAAGCAACTCAGCAGTATCTCGTGCTTTCTTCGGGCTGTATGGCAGCTACACACCGAAAGGCTGGACGACTATTACTGCTACGTACGTTTATTGGTTGCTGCTCTGTTCAACCAGCTTGGTGGTTGGCTTGCTTACTTCTCAGCCCCCATTGTATGTGGGTGTTTGGCAGGGTACATAATCCATTCCCAACTGTTTTTATCGACCAATATCCCTGTGGTTGGCATAATCCATTCCCAACTGTTTTTATCGACCGATATCCCTGTGGTTGGTTAGTTACAGCGCCGCGGACGATTTCCGATTCGCGGTGCGTTGGATATCTTCTTTCTGGTAGCCCTAATTCAGTGCTTTGGTTAGGTTATGGCACAGGACGAAGAAATTAACCCTCAAGGATGCTACATACCTTTTTAAGAACAATTTTTACTTGGCGACGGAACGTTTACAAGATGTGTCACGGTTGACGCCGCTGGTTGCAATCACTCCCCGAAAGTTACTTAGGAAACCACTCTCGACGATAGTTATCTGTAAGCTATAACTTTCGTGTATTGCTACCGTCGCCAAACAATTCACGACTGGTTTTCAGAAACATTCATTACTAGTCCCCCAGACCCCTTGTGCTCGCGCCGTTCACACTGAAATCAGCTATTTGTGTGGTGATGAGCATTTATGATCGCTGAGTCAGGCGGAACCATCACAGAGTTGGACAGTGGAGACCTTAAAAATGCGACGGAAGACGGTGGCCAGTTGTCCTCGCGCACCGTAGGGTGCACACGAACTGTCATTCATATCACCTTCATCATCATTAACCTAAGCTCAAACGGCAAGTATTACCGAAGGGATGCGCCCAAGGCCAGTTAAAATCAACTACGAAGGTTGCTCAATCTAGTTTTATGCTTTATTTTATTGACAAGTGGAATAGGCGCGCGTTGAGCCATTCAGTCATCCGGAAAACGGTAAGATAGAAATGCCCTAATGTCTAAACTCATTGCTAACCGCCTAAGTGAATCAGACAGTCATTTGGATCCGGCCAACGATAGGTAGAGTTGAAGTCCTCAACACAGCAAGAGCCAGCCGGGCTATCACAAGGCTGATTACCGGAGGGTACCACAGCCTCATCGAAGTTCGCCTCACTCGCGTGTTCCACAGTAATCCCGATTGCGAATGGCTGCAAAAGCTCAAACACAAATAAAGGAAAGTGTATACAGCTGTACAGAAGTTACCAAGACGGCCTTTACGAACAACCAATCAAAATGATCTAGTCATGTGGGCTTGGATGATGCAATATCATTCGCACTGAGGCAAAAAGTCGGCTAACATCTTCCGAAGCTGAAGCGAGTGACTGGTGCCGCTTCGGCAAACCAATTTCCAAACGCTGCTCAAATCTTTGCAACACGGTAGCCGCTTGAGATCGCACGATCCTGGAAAACCGAGAATCGCATATATCCGTGTTCGGGCCCAAATAGGTTGCCAAGCGCTGTGTAAGCAAACTCATGGTGCTGCAGAGAAGACGCAGTTCCCAGGAGCGTTGAGTGTCTTCCAGCACGGTCGATTGGGGAAGCTCGGCCAACCACAAGTAGAACAGGTCCGCATACAACGCGAACACATCGAGTTTTCCCCGCAAACCTGAAAATAAAACAAAAAATAAAATAAGCTCCTGTGGGTAGAAGAACGAATTTTTCTCCCTTCATATCGCGCTGCTAATCGTATTCATAGGTCCAAAAACTTTGCAACGACTAACGACCGGTGGGCTCCGAGTTCCCGTGAGAACTCCCTTAAACAGTTTGCGACAAGCGTCTTAGAGTGAGTTCCCTCCGAATAAAGGCCACTGTAAAGCCAGTCGACTGTCCTGTTGGAGGGCTCGAAATAAGGTGAGAGGACTGGCCTGCAACTGCTCCGAAGACCCGGATGAATATTCTGATCATCGTTTAGTTATTTGTTGATTTCACACGGAGAGCTAGCTGACAAGCTGTGAAAGACAGTCGGAGGGGTTATTGGATATCGAGTCTGGATTGGTGTGGATAATTGGATGTGTTATGTTGAACACTCCAGAGAGGTATAGAATTACGTGTTGTAAGCCAAACCAATCAATAGCGTGGTCAGCTAAGTTTGCCTGATCAGAAAAACAGTTTGCGAACAGCAAACAAAATATCCCAATCAGGGAGACAGTTTGCGAACAGCAAACATTTTAAAATATCCCGTCCAAAATCGTTGTAGTGCAAAGGAAGAACACAGTCGTAGGTCTGTTGCTGGAACCTAAATAGTACATTCACTCAAGAGGCTCCGCGCGAGTCGTGCTTGGAGAAACGGGTGCGAAATGCCTATCGTAAAACACGTTCAGCCGCAACACTCGATGCCTAGCTGTCATACCATCCGAAGGAAGCGCGAGGGCTGGGATACTGCCAAGTCGCCCAAGCCTAGACAGGGGAAGTTGAGAGGCAGAGGTCGGGTTCGGTCAGTAAATTTGCGCTCTAACCTTTGGGTCCTCTCGCTTCCATGTCCATCGTGGGGCCGTTGAAAAGCTAGTTCAAATGTCCGTAGAAGCCTAACCACGCAGTAACTTTCGACACTACTAGGGCTCGTCAAGTGGTTATAAGGAGATGAGGTTAACCAGGGGGACACCGACAGCTTACTGAAACGACTGTGCATGTCCGTAGAAGCCTAACCACGCAGTAACCTTCGACACTACTAGGGCTCGTCAAGTGATTATAAGGAGATGAGGCACATGAACCTTTGGTTAACTAGGGGGACACCGACAGCTTGCTGAAACGACTGTGTCTGGCAGCTTGGTCCCTAGTGAACGGCTATGAAGCAAAATACTGGAGGTTGGAGTCAGGCGAGTTGCATTTCATGTAGTCTATCAAAACGAAACAGGAAAACGCACACCAAAGAAGCAACCGATATCTGGGATCCCCTAGCTAGAAGCAAAGAGCACTGTTAACTGAATCGGACAAGCGCTAGCAGGTATTTCGGTGTTCAAGGAGTCAACTTCACTGCCACATCCCATCCATAATAGCATAACGGAATTACGTCGCAGAGAGACTGGATTTCATTGAGGTGCGACGGTTTACGCACCTCAGCAAGCCACTGGGCCGTACTGGAGGGTGCTCGCCCAGCATCCACAAAGTCTCTTCCGCTAGTCTGAGTTCCCTGTTCCTCCAGTTTGGGGGCTGGAACAAGTGCTGCAATGTGGCCTGCTCGAGTAGTCTCAAGCTGATCACCGCTGTCGGTCTGTTGAGTCAAATGCTTCAGTCTGGGTTTGGGCGTCCCACCTGTAGCTCAGCCCACTTACGCTCATGAACTTTATATATTATGGAAGCTAAGTACTACTACAATTGGTGTGTTACTGTTCATGACGAACACTTTTGATGTTTTCGGTTTGAAAAGAGTTACGTGAGAAACGATTGAACAAAACACGTACTGCTCCAGTCCATCAATGGAAAGCCGCCAGTAGGGGACGATGAATCTCCACTTTCGAAATGCCTTGCATGAAAAGACAAAATGATCACCCCGGCTCGGACCAAGTGGTCAATAACGTGAAAGACGCGCCCCCATCTGTTGGGCTGTTGATCACCGGAGGTAGATCTCAGAAACTGTATGATGATGGGAATGGGAACAGGCGAAACAGGGTTATACACGAAAATGGAGAAACGTGGACAGAAACAGGGCAACATTGCCAAACCCAGATCATATTTTACTTCCGTTTGCCAGAGACAAGGCAATGTAACCACAGGTATTTGCTAATCTGTCCGTATTGACCCCGTGCCATGGTCGCTCGATCTATGGGCCACTTTTCAGGATGTTAGTCGAACAACGAAAACTGCCCTAGAGACACAATGACAGTAAAATACACCGTCATCAGCGCTCAGCCTCAACAGCAACAGACAAGAACCGATGGAGATGATAAGGGAACAGTCGATTATAAAGTTTGATGCAATTTCTCACATGTTCTCAGCACGATCCTGTGTACTATTCCGGAATGGTGCGTGGGGTTTGCGGGAAAAAAGTAGTCCGTCAAGACAGAGAGGGCACCCAAAACAACCGAAGAATGATCGATTCAACTACACCATGAGGGAGAAGAGACAAAACTTTCCCACTTCGAAGGACGTGAAGCTGCGCGATGTGCCTGGACCTACGGAGTGAATCAGTAGCGGGAGCGTGTTCATCCCATCAAGTGTGTATAGGTCAGCCTCTTTTCTCGCAACCACGTAAAGGGAGGAAAAGAGCCAGAGGCGGTCAAACAATGACTTGCAGCGAAAGTATGAAAGCCATTACCAGCAAACTCAGCTGCACTGGTCACTGCCGCCTTCCCAGATGCGGACCCCGAGACGGGCCACATCAATGGCTAGAGACATTGTCAGACATGGCCCAGTCGCGTCCTCAATGGCGCTCGTGCATCCAAGCTATTGCCTTCAATGCATAGCTCCTTTTCCAACCCCCTTACTTGACAGCCCACTGACAGTGCTGGATTTATGCACCAATTTATCGTCTCCCGCCTGCAATGCGCAGCTACCTACCCCTCCCCCCCAAATCATCGGTGAACAAAACTGCGGCAGCTACAACCACTGTACGACGAGTACGCGGTCATTACAGCTGGCAATGACGATGATGATGAGCCTCGAAGTGTCTACACAAAAGACGCCTCTGCTCAAACCACATTTCACCACATCATTTTCAAGCCGCCGTCGGCCAGTTCTGTGTTCGCTTAATCGAAAAGCTTACACATTTGTGACAAGAGAATCAGAGGTACTTAATCGATAATGCACTCAGGGCGTGATCGTTGATATCCGGAAACTATGAGTGCTTTGCAAAGGACGTCGTCCAAGCAAGTTGTGTTCACAAATATTTCGAACTAATTCACATTTTCACACTTGGAAAACACTGCACTGGCGCAAATCACATGAAATGCACCAATAAAGACCACTGATGGATCAGGACGAGATGGCTCAAGTGGTGGAGCGGGAATTTACTGACCGGAAGGTCCGTGGTTCGAGCGCGACCTCTGCCTCTCGACTTCTTCTGGTAGTATCCCAGCCCTCGTGCTTCCCTCGAGTAGCATGGCAGATAGGTTCCGGACGGATGTTACAGCCGATTTTTTTTGAACTGATGGATCGGTTCGAGTGCCAACTTTAGAAGACGAAACCGCCTTTTCTCCGTAGGACAGAATATTTCCGAATATGAGGTTTGAGGATTTTATGACCACTGAACAAATTATGATAAGAGGTTGGATATCTGGCGAGGCTGGCTAGAACGTTACTGTAAAGACATGATCGTTGTCAGGAAACTCCAACCCCGGTCCCTCTGTGACACCCTTTCGATGCCTAGTTGCCGTACTACCCGAAGGATGCGATACTGCCAGGTTTCCGAAGCCTGCACAGGAGCAGTCGAGATGCAGAAGCTGGGTTCGAACCACGGACCTTCCATTCAGTAAATTCGCCCCTTAACTGCTGAGTTATCTCGATCTCAATGGGTATGATGCTGATAGAAGCAGGCCAATTCAGTGGCAGAAGAACACATAAAAAGCTACGAGGAGAGTTTTGAAGGTATAACAAGATCTCAACCAACATCCTGTTACACTGGCTATAGCCCAGTTTGTGAATGGTGAAACAATGCAAGAACGGCACTCACCAAAAATAGGGCTAAAAGCAACACATTGTTCGGCAAATGATCCGGTTCCCAATTGTCGCTATCAGACTTTACAGATGAGATGATAGCATCCGTCACAAGTTGAGCAGACTGAGGAGACATTGAAGCCAACAAGAGTGCAAAACTCAGGGTTGCTGGAGACATGTGTGAAACACACCGTCGTTTCTCAGTTGGTACCAAGTTCATTGTTGAAAACTTCAGACCCAACCTAAAGCGCAAGAACGAACATCGTCTTGCCACGTAAACATCTTCAAAAAAACAAACATAGAAGCATGTGGTGGGTTTTTTCGGAAACACAGCAAAAATACGGTTCACGGGCAAATTGTGATCAAGTTAGGCTTGGGTTCGAAGACCAACCATAGCGGTAAACAGAACAAACCGGAGATACAACAATAAATAGCCAGATCCACGGCGAAGACGAATGACTATTTTCGTTCCGAATACTCCTGATAAACTGATGTGAGTTCATCAGGTGACAGAGAAGAGCGCCGTTAAAAATGGCGCTTGGAAGTAGGCACTCACTCGTTTTCATGAACTTCTCGTTTGTCCAGCCCATCTTTTGTCTTCCGTCAAAACGAGGAAGCACAGGGACAGGATTTTATCAAAATTGCGTATCCTTAACCAAATATGCGTGTAAACTGAGGGATTAGCTGAGTCCAGTCGTAACTGCGGTTTTGTTCAACGACTTCCTTCTGGAATGTACTTAGCTGCGTGAAGACAAGAGATCTAACCACAAACACACGACAGTTGGGATTGGCGATGTCTTTTCTATCGTGTCCTGAGAAACCCAACGCTGATCAGGATTACATCTGCGCAAATGTCGTTACCGACTTAGGAATTGTTGTCATCATCATCAGAGAGAGGAACATCACCGTTGACGTTAACGCTCCATTAACGTACAACTACAGTTTACTTAATCATTTAGAGCTCGGGATAGCTCACTGGTTGAGGGGGGTTTATTAGCCGGAAATTTCGTGGTTTGAACCAAGCCTCAGCAACTCGACTGCTCCGGTCCACGTGTGAGCAACCTGGCAGTATCTCAGCCCGAGTGCTTTATTCAGACGACATGGCAGCTACTCACCGAAAGGGTGTTACAGTTGAATGATTATTTTAAGAGTGAAGAGTGGATGACGGAAGAGCATGTTGCTAACCCAACTTAAGCATTCATAGATGCCTATACTTCAAGACGCCCAGTCAATCTGGAAAGAAACTGACTTTCAGCATGAGCGTCACTAACATCCATTGGCGGCCACTCCTTGCGATGTCTTCAACCGATTGTCGGGAGCAGTCACGGTGACCCTATCCTGGAAGGTAGACCGTAGTCTCTTTTATATCTTTTTACCACGTCACACGTTGTTCATTCCATGGTATACGTCATTCTGAAGGAAACATGGAGAAGAACACTCGTCTGTGTGGACGATGTTTGGGCATACGTAGCAAGGGGTCCAGGCATTGCAGTTCAGGACGCTGGATGTTTTTCGCGACTCTTTAAATCGTAAGGGTTAGCTGTACTAAAGCCAAACTAGACAGGTCTCCTACCTACTTCCAGACCTATACCCGTGTGACCTCAGAGAGGTTACTTGTGTTTGGTTGCTTTGACTATCGTAGCTGGTTTCTATCAGGCTAAATGATCTGATCGGTAGTAGGATACTATACATACGTACATCTGGTGCACAGTAAACTAGTGACCCAAAAGCGGCCTTTGCTGACCAAGCCGTGTTCTTCGACTATCGAAAAAGGGCCTGTCACATTTAGCATTGTTTGCGAATTCTCAAGTGAGCTGGGAACCGATGGCCTGGAAGCGTTGACTGCACCATTCAACAAAGTTCGCGGATATCGGTTGAGGGCTCAGTGGAGAGCCTCATCAACGGTCGCAGCTGACAGCGAGCATGTACCCATAATTTAGTCGGTCTGTGCTAGAAGGGAACCCAGCTGTCCAGTCTCATTCCCTATCAGTTCAGATCAATTCAGTTTTCAGATCACAAACCCTGTACACCAAGGTGCGGTGGTTCGACCTTTGTTCACTGAAAATGTTGAGATTAAAAGAATGGGAGGCACGCGCTGGCCCCATTTCTGCGTTGAAGACAAATGGATCTGCTTGTCCAGGATGGCACCTACGAAGATTTGATGCGAGAACACCATTGGCTGCGTGACACAGCCATATCTGTTGGGATCACTGTCTACTACTGTGTCCCGTGTTGCAGTCCACATCCGGGGAAACATCAGTTATCAACGCGACTCAGTTCACTGGTGCGAGATTTCATGCTTTCTTGCCAAGTCGTGGACTGGTCGCCCCCGAGTCAATTACTTCCGATACAAGGCTGGGCGAATAGAGCTCTGTGAGACAAGCGGTCCTATGGCATACGAAGTACGTTGCTCAACCAACGTAACCTGTGGAGTGTGACCAGCTGATTTATCGGGGGAGAGTTCACTCCTTCAAAAACCATCTGCTGTACTTCAACATTACAGTTCTTACCCTCGCAACATTTCGGAGGCATGATGGTCAAACACACAGTCTCCGAGGATTTTCCGCAAGCAACGGTCACTTGCCTGATCCATACAGTAGGACAGATTCGACCGCGGGATTGTACACCCCACCCTTGACAGTCAGGCTAATATTACATCGGCGCCACAAATGTCAGAGTGTGGCAAACGCTGCTCTGGCCTTTCCAATGCGGGAAGTGATTTCGTCCTTCACCAGTCCACCAGAACTTATGCAGCTTCCCACATAGACGAACTTATCTGCGAATTCGATCAGCTCATCAGGAAGCATTGGATTTCGTGTTTAATCCCAACCAGATTCGCAGTAGCACCTCACAACTTTACAGGTACGAAGTACATAACGAACTGAGCAGCAGAATAGTTCAGGTTATTTTGAAATATTCTGGAGTCTGATCCAAGGAGGGAGATATCGTCCGTGAGTGGACACCTGGGAGGATATTGAGCTTCGAGGTGATAAAGACAAGTACAGAAGACTCAAGAACGTTGATAACGAAGTTAAAGACCAGGGGAGACAGAGAACATCCTTGCCCGACATCAATGAATGTGGTGAACTCAAGATAAATGGCCGTAAACAAACACGAGTATATGGGAGGAGGCATATGCAGACAACAATCTAGAAAGGACACCCTTCATCACAAGACGGTCAGAGTTCCTGACGAAAAGTATATCTGAGATCGAGAAAGACTATGGTTGTTGGTTGTCGTACTTGTTGTAACGTGAAGATATGAACAATGCAACTCCAAGTCAGGGCATAACTCACGCCGGAAATAATTATGAAATGATGATGTGATGTTTTGGATGAAATTTGGTCATGGCATCAAAACCAAAATAGAAAGCCAATCACGACCTCTGTTCAAACCTTGGCCATAAGACCAGTGGTCTACGTGGGGAGAGAAAACAAAGTACCGTACAGGCTTCCGAGGGCAAAGAATGTCAGGGTTACAAAAAAAACAGAAGGCTTCCTCCTAGACATTTGTCTATGGATAAACCTAGTGTGAAAAAGTTTGAGTATGCTGTTTGGGTACCCTCCACCGGGACATACAGACCGTCATACCGCAGTAACTATGCATCTTCGTCAAACGTTTTCCCGAAGGGGCCCAGTGTGTGAAGAGAAGGTCCTCTGCAAAAACCTGGATCATCACTAAAACCGCACATGTGTTCAGCTTTCCAAGGAAGTCACGCCACGCCATGCCTGGTTTAAGCCTTGACAAGGTCTAGACCCTCCTGATAAGCCTGGCAATCCATGTGCAATAGGGTACTTTGCATGTTTGTGCGAAGCTTTGAACCGACAGCTAGTTATGACAGCCATGCAGGTGCTATCAAGCGCATGACGAACGCGATGGTGATGACGGCAGATCCAAGATTTTCAATCAGCACGTCAAACGTTAGGTGGTGAACTGCAATGACAGGTGGTGTTTCCAAGACATCCTTTGTCTGTTATAATGGTTCCCGCACCAGTTGCGCACATGTGACACTGCTTTGGCACAGGTGTCTCTGTCGGATGGAAGGACGACCATAAGCCTAGGAAGTAACGGATGTTGATCGGCCATCAGAGGAATGGAAGCTGGTCAGAGATATCTACCGACTTTGCTATGGATAATCGGTCATGGGTAGCAGTGATCCAGAACATAGTTGCAATCAAAACACCCTTATAGAAAAGACAGGCGCAGCAAAGTTAAACATTCACTGTCTTTTAGTCAACATCTCCACTGAAGGTAGACCATGTCTGGTCAAACAACATGTACTTTTAAATTGTGGCTTTGAGATATACCGAGTGGAATCTAGTGTGTTATTCAATCAATGTCTTCAATCCGGGTCACACCGTTCGGCTAACCGCGCCTTCCTGGGCGGAATCATTTGGCAGCAAGGCAGAACATCAGTATGGTGTCGAGAAAATATTGGCACTCGCAGAGCCTAGCATGGAAGCAAATATTTACAGTACCTGCGGTTATTGTCACGAAAAGAATCATTGAAAACCGGGATAGCGCCGCCACTGAGATTGGTCGAGGGGGCTTGGTACGTATCATCGTTCCATCTTTTATAGGGTCTTCTTGTCAGCTGTAATAACCACGTACTTGTCGTACAGTGGTTGTAGCTACCGCAGTTTTGTTCACCGATGATTTGGGGGGGGAGGGGTAGGTAGCTGCGCATTGCAGGCGGGAGATGATAAATTGATGCATAAATCCAGCACTGTCAGTGGGATGTCAAGTGGGAGGGGGGGGGTTGGAAAAGGAGCTATGCATTGAAGGCAATAGTTTGGATGCACGGGCGCCATTGAGGACGCGACTCGGCCATGTCTGACAATGTCTCTAGCCATTGATGTCGCCCGTCTCGGGGCCACATCGGTGGACGCAGTTCGGTTCAGCGTCCACCGATGTTTTCTAGGGTTACTAATGACAACCGTCCATTTGGTGCCTAGCTGCGATGTCACCCGAAGAAAGCACGAGGTCTGAGATACTTCCAGGTTACTCAAGCCCAGATAGGAGCATTGGAGATACCGAGGTTGTGTTCGAATCTCGAACCTTCCGGTCAGTAAGCTCGCATATCGACCACTTGGCTGTCTCGAGCTATTTCTAGGACTTTATCCCCCAGATCGATGTCACTCTAATGAGATGACTCTAGAACCATGGGCATAGTTCAGCGGTGCAGATAGGCGCGGTTGATCTGCGCTCACTTCAAACCGTTGTTCACCGGATACAGGTCGACGATCTTACGAGCGCCTGTGGCTGAATTCTGTTCCGTGTCAGCTTGATTTCCTGATTCAATCCGTAATAGAAAGCTCCAGAGATCACACGATGGATTCTAGTTTGAAACGGAGTTGTGTTGAGGGCGCAGCAGGCTTTCAACGGAAACACTAAGTGGAGCAGAGGTTCAGGTAACGAACGTTACATCCATTATCATTGTCAAATTATCCCGTAATAGGGCAGATTCCTGACGTAAGCATTTAGCAGATCGCCATTTAAGACCAATCGGCAGAACGCAAGATCTTTAAGTGTCAAGAGGGGAGCAACGAAATTTGTTTTGGTGTGGATTAAAACCAGCAAAGTAGACTAAAAGAAACAAGGATGCCAGCAAGCCCACCTGAAGCAAACGACTAATTTCTTATGGAGGAAACGTTGAATGATCGGAATCAATACAGGAATAAAAATACTCACTTTGTCGCTACGGAATTTAACAGCGTCAGTTCTCCAGTTGTTCCGGGAAGGTTGCTCATATAAGCGGGGACTTCGAGGCATCCTGAGTCGGATCTATCCAGAACCGCGTCGAAGACGGGAAACCACAAAATCCAAAAGCGGAGTATTCGTGGGCCAAATTCGTGACTACGTAGAGTTTCCCTGAGTCGACATAATCGATCACTTGCTGTCGCAAAAATATCCCTTCCAGACGTGTCACGCAACAGCGTTCTGACAACGCCAACCACAAGGAGATCCAGTTCGTTCACCTGCGTGTAAGCGGTAGCATCTGACAAAAACAATAATTCGAATAGATTCAGCAAATGTACCACAATCTCCTGAGAAATTGATTCGGAAAAACCGTCGGCTGCAAAAAGAATGGCATCGAGCAAAAATCCAAGGAAACGGTCGATAGCTTCGACGGGTTGAACGGGCTTCTGAAGAACGGTCTGAAGCTGTAGATTAAGGTGCGCCAACAAGTTCGGAACGATCTGACGGGCCTGCAGAATAAAGCATGACGATAACTCAATGAGTAGAGCGATAAATATCAATAATATTGTAATCATAGTTGTAGGCCGGAAAAAACAGCCACGCACAGATTCTTGTAACTCTTGAGCGTGTATAGCGATGGTTAGCCTCGTTTGGTTTGGTATACGTTTAGCTTGTGAACTTCACCGGGTGTACACGCTCTCCGTCTCTCTATAGGACCCATGGTTAACGAATACTTTGTAACTAATCGCGGTCAACATTTTTAAAACGCCGTAGCCAGACTCAGCTTAGGCTTAAAATATCAGTTCACTTAGAGATTAGACCGCATACCACGGAGTCATGTTGCTGTTCGTTTTGCAACTTTGCCTTCAAACCTGAGATAGCTCAGTGGTTAAGGCACGAATCTACTGACCAGAAAGTTCGTGCTTGGAACCCCACCCCCATAGCTCCTGCCTAGAAATGGGCGACTTGGGGGCCGTCGTGCTCCCCTCAGATGGCAGGGGGACTGGGCACCGAAAGGATGTCACAACTGGCCTTTGACCAGCCTGGTAGCAGCAGGAGGTTGTGAACTAGTACAGATATTTAGTATACGACATTGGTACCAATGCAAATGGTGTTGGGGGAATGGAACACTGGAACAATTATGAAGTCGCAAAGCACGGTGCTTATTAATCCAAAACAAAGGAGAGAAGTACAGAACCCCAGTCTCACACTTATTACCTTTGACAGTGAGGGGATGTAGGCTTTAGGCACGTGACAAACGAGTTGAGCGCCTAAATAGTACCCCACATTGGTTAATACGTCCGAACAGACATACGTGTTGACATGGGGACGAGATGGCTCAAGTGGTTAGAGCGCGAATTCACTGACCGAAAGGTCCGTGGTTCGAACCCGATCTCTGCCTCTCGACTTCCCCTGTCTAGGCTTGGGCAACCTGACAGTATCCCAGCCCTCG